GATAAAAATGTTAAAAATTTGTGAAAGTTGATTTTTTCCCCCCAAAAAAAAAAAAAAAATGGAAATAAAATAAAAAGTTGAAATCAATATTGCGTGAACGAACGACAGAAAATGATGTTTTTATTGCAGTTAAGTTTCAATGACATCAAGCCACTTGAAGGCAGGAAGATTGATATATAGAAACATGGGCTAGGTTTATCATTGTCTCATTAGCTTAATAAAATATCCAACTATACAAACCAGGAGGTAAATTCTTAAAATCAAGGCGTCTGCCTTATCACAGAACATTTAGAAAGCATTTAAAGGTAATTCTCCTTGAACAAAGAGTTCATACAATTTTTTTTTGTCCTCACAAATTGTATTCAAAAAGACAAAATGATCAAATATACAAATGATTATTTTGAAGCTTTCTTTAGTATTTATCTGAAGTTGTATATTATGTCTTATGTAAGCTAACAATACAATGAACAACAGGGCCATATCATGGATGTCATAATGGTAATGAAAGATATTGCTGAGGATGGACTGTTGCTTTTGAAATCCTCCATCAAGAAAACTGAAAAAAGATTAAAATACTATATGAAAATAGACCTTTTCAGGTGTCTGATGAGGGCGAGAGACATCAAACAAACTAGTTGTTCTAATTTGAATGATCCTTTTAAATATTTACCGAGATGAAGTTAATGTTTCATGTTACAATATCTGGGAAACAGCTTCAAATCAGCAACACGTTTAGATATCATGTATCACATGTGAAGACTAAAAATATCTCCCTACTGGAATGAAACAAAACGAGAGCATGTTGTAGTTATTATTACGTATGGAACAAACACAGAAATGCTGCATGGTATTTTCTCAGGGAAATACTTTTTTACAACACTTCAAGCAAAACAGATTTGAGTCGCATATCCAAAAGACATGGTATCATTACTTGTGACAAAAATGGCCAATATTCTATAAAGATATTTGTGGAACTAGGTCATTCAATTTATCTACAGTTTAAAAAAAAAATGTAAAAATCATTATGAAGATAAACAAATGTGTCAGTTTTCATTCAAGCAGTTTCAAAACATCATTAGATACTTCTCTGAAGTCACCATTTTTGAAAAAAAAAAAGTGACACATTTTGAAAATTTAAACCGATTGAGTCTCTATATAACAAATGAAAGATTAAAGCAATGAAATCTACACTTGGTGTAATAAATGCTTCTAACAACGTCACACATATACAGTTCTATGAACAGAAACAACAGATACTTTTGACAATGGGTGCACAACACCAAATCTATACATAAACACCTTTACATGCATTATTGCTAAGGAAAAATTACAGGCAATCTACAAAATAGGTCTACCTTGTAAACATGGAACATGGAAATGAAAATGTAACTAAACAATATGTATAACAAAGTAACAACTTTATGTGGAGGATCCCTACAACACAAAAACTCAACATACCTTATATCCACTATATTTCATAGATGCTTCATTCTGATAGGAATAGTTACATTATATAGGAATATATTCTAGTGGCTTAAGTAGGCAAGATATTTTGAATAATACAATATATGTGAACTTTATCTTTGGGTGACTGATCTAGTCTTAGTGACGAGCATCAGTGTTAGGAGATTCAATACTTGTAAGTCCACTTTCACATGGAAAGACTGGGAATATATGCATTCAGGAAAATTGAAAATCGTAACAGTAGAATAATTTCTTATTACACAGAGAAGTGAATTTCATAAGAAGGGATTGTTAGAGACAGAATTTGTGTTAAGATTTATACAGATATTCAACACAGTATCAATTATTCAACTCTGTGTTATAAAAATGAGTGCATGTAATAACTTGTGCAGAAAATAACAAAAATTCAGAAATGATTCATCATAGTCATCAACAAAGTTGTAATATAAAATGCCATCCAGTGTCTAAACAAAATGGATTTAAATGTCTTCCAAAGTCCTCACATCCGTTATCATTATTTCAGAAATTATTGTTTTATAATTCGACATTTTCGCTAAAATTAGTCTACAGTTTAAATAAAGTAAACTAATTTCATTCAAATGAATTTGACATCATTTATATTAGTTTGAAGAAAGACTCTCCAAAAGAGGTAAAGCTGTCTGAAACACATACCAGGTATATTCACAAGTGACTCAATATCAGTATATTGCATCTATTCCAGTTATGGTTTGGAAGACATTTTCCATCACATTAAATTTTATAACATCTGGTATATCAAAAGAACCCAGAGTAAACTCCAGCAGTAAGTTTTACAAAAGTACTTTCAGATCTATAAGGTAAACATCCCATAAAAATAGCCTTGTCATGATCTCAATATCAACCCACAGGGTCAGAACACAAGTTTCATAGTTAGTAACAAGTACAGTAGGTTGAATTCCAGATCAAGTTACCATCGCTACAAAAGTGACAGATTTGAATAATTGATAAACAGGAACTGAAAATGTTGGCTGATTTTGTATGTACAGGAATTATACTGCAACTCTGTTATACTTGTAAGCTTACTTTGAAACCTACAGTACCTCAGCATCATCAACACAATTTTTAATTTGAATTTTTTAGTTTTTTCAAGATTGTGATTCTTTTGAATATCACACCATAAAAGTTGAAAATTCCAATATAAAAACTGAATTAATTCAAATGTCTGTGAATATTCACCTTACAGTGTTGGTGAGAAAAAAAAATGAAAACAACCAGACTTTTAGGAAATGATGCAAATGTTAAGTTGTCAAAAAAAAAAGTGAAGTTGATTCTGAGGTTCATTAAATACCGATAATCTATTTTAAGTAACGGAATGTAGGTGAATTTCTCTCACCTAATCATAAAATAAAATGAGAAACACAAAATATAAAGTTTTCATGCCTGTTTAAATGAAATAAACTTAAAAATAAAAAGATGCATACAAATTATAAATAATGTCACTCTAATTTTCAGTCTGAAAAAAGATTAATCAATATACTAGGAGAGGCAATGGATGACATAACTCAGCTAAATATATATATAATCATGGTCTGCTAAACAAATACTGAAAATATCATGTTGACATGTATTGAATACAGGTTTTGATATAAATGTCTTGTAAACGATAGAAATACTTTGTATCTATTTATCAGTAACAAACAACCAACAAGAGAAATGAACAGCACTAATATGAATACATCGTATTTCAAATACTTAATACGTAAAACACAACAACGAATCAAGCACCTATGTATAGTCAGTATAACCGAGGCATATATAATACATTTTCATCTTCAAGAAAAATATCTACGATCATCGGACATGTAAACTATTACAACTATATATGTAGTCATTGTAATAGTCAATAATAACACTAAGTGAAAAAAGCACCTAAATCACTATAATATATAATTATATATATGTTTACAGGTACAATACCAATGGCAATATCTTATTGTAAGACAAAACAAGTCAACAATACACAGCTAACTACAGTCATGTACATAAAAAGCCAAAATACAGAAAATTTCAATCTCTTTGTAAATTCAAGTAATGATGAAAAATTGCCCAATATACACTATTATTTACAATACATCATTACAGCTCTTTATTCCATCCTATCATATATGTTTATTTATATATATAATAGATGTATTTCTTTCAAAATGAATTTAAATAATCCATTTTAGAATTTTGTGATGCAACACTCGAGTACATTTATATATATCTTCATCATATGAAAGGTTTAAATGCTGACAATGCAACATATCCAGACAGAGGATACAAATCATTTTATCATTTTGACAGTACACTTTTCGCAATATTTGCTGTATTCACCTAAAAAGGCATTTTGGATTGGAAAAAAATAGGTTTTGGTTTGAAGGAATTAAAATATCAACATTATTGCCATAGAAAAAGATAAAGGTATGAAGATCAACATTTGGCAAATGAGTAAGGTACTTCCTCTACAACAAATGTCATGACTTTTAATCAGTTTTTATAAAATCAATGAAGGGTTGTTAAGAACCTTGCATCAGTTTGATTTGAAAAGTTAACATTTTATTTGATAGATGAGAGAAAAAAAATTAATTTTAAAAAGAAATTTCACACTAAAACAGAGAGCTACCAAACACTTGTGTCTTTATTATAGGCTAATATGTTACCTCTGATATCATTTGACATGAATATTTGAAAAATTTATAAATAACTGTAAAAATAGGGAACAGTAAATTCAATTGCATAAAAGCGTTGCGTTCCCCTTCATGATGTATGTAAGTATTTCAATGATATTCAAAAATGCTCTTACGAATATATTGATAAAATGTTTGATAAAATATTTTAAACCATATCTATTTTAGGAGGGAGTGGCCATTATTGATAGTGTTGAATGTATTGAGACATATATATATGAAAATTAAAGAATGCTTTTTGTATAAAAATATAGAGCCATTTAGAATATGTTTATAGCTATATATTTTATAAATTGCTTTGGTCATTTCATAAAAACTAAATACATCCTTCATCACAGAGATATGACAATTCACCATAACCAACCTCTTCTTTCTTTGTTATCTACACAGCAGGTAGACTACAAAGACTAAAATATAGTAAACAATGGGAGGTAACTCATACAAGTTCAGAATGTTAGGTTACACACCACTATCTGTAACCAATACACTTGTACCTCTGTATTAATATCGAAAGTATACTGAGACAACTATTCTATAACATAATAAGCATTTAAAATGCTTCATCTTAAGTAATACATATTCATTGCAATATACTTTGGTTATCTAATCTATAGCTATTCCTTTACATAATGTGTATAATTTTGGAATGAAAAATACAACTTTTACACTGATAATTTTTTGCAATATTTGCAAACCTATTTCTTATTTAATCACGCTCTTTTCCCAAATTAACAGATATTACATTTATATTTTATATTTTTTTGTAAAACAATTATTATTCACTCAATTTTTTTCCAAACTTTGATCTATACAGATTCCCTAAAAAGCCTAACCGTTCCATATCCTATGTTTGTTCTCAATGCCAGGTTCCAGTACAGATATACCGGTATAATACCTGTTGTGGACCTCTCCGGATGTCTCTGACACATCATTGGCAAGCCTGTAAAACACAACTGTAAATATATCCAATGTAAACAGCACCTACTCGACAGCAGTAGAACTGAGACCAGTCGACCATATTAAGATGACAACCTGGAAAATAAGGCAACATATTTAAGGATCAAGGACATGTAATAAATTAAAAATTGACATCAATACAAATGTGAAATATCAAAATGCAAAAATCTGGGTCTCAGGAATTTGTTGGAGGGGGGAGTTATATGGAATCTGAAGAGACTAAAATGTCTACAATACTATGGACTAAAATGAAAACTTGTTGAACGTTTCTACCAATGTAGAAATCGTAGAGTTGATAATAAATGACCGGTAATTGTATTACAGTGGTGTTCGAGGTCACGGCGATAGTAAAATGATAACTTGTTACAATTTCTTAAGTTGAGACTAGAGTTGAGAAGTTCTTGCTTAGGCATTCTAAAGTTAACTTGAGCAAGAAAAACATCTGAGACAGCTCATAAAAATCCTATTCTATATTCTACATTGCAACAGGAACAGATTGTCTCTTTACATGTTAAGTAATCTGTGTAACACAGACAATTTACCTGGTAAGTAATCTGTGTCACACAGACACTTTACCTGGTAAGTAATCTGTGTCACAAAGACACTTTACCTGGTAAGTAATCTGTGTCACAAAGACAATTTACCTGGTAAGTAATCTGTGTCACAAAGACAATTTACCTGGTAAGTAATCTGTGTCACAAAGACACTTTACCTGGTAAGTAATCTGTGTCACAAAGACACTTTACCTGGTAAGTAATCTGTGTCACAAAGACACTTTACCTGGTAAGTAATCTGTGTCACAAAGACAATTTACCTGGTAAGTAATCTGTGTCACACAGACACTTTACCTGGTAAGTAATCTGTGTCACAAAGACACTTTAATCTGTGTCACAAAGACACTTTACCTGGTAAGTAATCTGTGTCACAAAGACACTTTACCTGGTAAGTAATCTGTGTCACAAAGACACTTTACCTGGTAAGTAATCTGTGTCACAAAGACACTTTACCTGGTAAGTAATCTGTGTCACAAAGACACTTTACCTGGTAAGTAATCTGTCATGAATGGATCAGGTCATTTATATATAAAATTTATAGTTTATCATGATGAGATGCATTGAATTCACTTCTACTTATTTTTGTAAAATTTTGATGCATTGAGTTCACAGTACAATTTTCAAAATATTAAGGAGTCTATTTACGAAGCAATATATCGTGTTCTCAACATTTGAGTCCAAAAAGTCACTGTCTTTAAAACAACTTGAAAATCCAACACCACTTTGTGATAGATATATCACCATTTTCAAGATGACTTCAAGCTTAGTCCTAAACAAAATCATTGAACAAACTTTCACTTTGTTATTTGGATATGTCTGTATCATTCTGGGGGTAAAGATGATATTTCTTGATGATAAGAAACGATGTTGATAGTTAAAATTTCCTATAGAATAGAAAAAATGGCAATAAAAATTTGACAATAAATGTATTTGTAAACCACTTACTTTATATGGCTGGTCAAATGGCAGTTAAACTCGATGCGGTCACGGCATGACGATTTACAGATGACACACTTGAATGGATCGGAGTCATGAGAGTGGAAGCCATTGTGAAGCAGATACAGAGTGCAATCTTCAAACAGGATGTGGCAATGTTCGCAGCGATAAAACTTGCCACCCACCAAATCATCAGATATGTCCTCTTCTCGGATGGTCTCGGAGTGATTGGAGCTTGTTTCCACCAGGCTAGTTGTTGGCTGGGTCGATGTGTCTGGGGCCATGCAACTGCTGCCACTATAGCGGCGCATGGGATGCCTTTGTTTTCGCGAGTTTGTCGTGGAGATCATACGCGAGTGGAGATTCTGACGACTGATGCCGATGTTCTCCTCATTCTGGGCGCTATCTGAATGATCACTGGTTAGACTCGAGTCTTCCGATCCTGTTTTTCCACCAGCTGTATCTGCAGTCATGTTTTCCAAGAAACTGCCATTCTTTTCACTCTCAGCTCGACCGTTTCCTGTGTCACAACCTGGATCTGGTGTGGAGACAGACCGGGAAGTGTGTGAATCTGAACTGTACTTTCTATCACGAGCAGTTGTGGTGCTGACAATGGCAGTGTCGTTGCCATCCTGAATGATGACAGGCGGTGGTTCAGTATATGGCACAGTGTTAGCAGTAGAAGTAGTTGGCAAGGCGTATTCATCCAGAATTTGACGGGTTGGTATATGCATGGCATCAGCACGCAGGATGGCAGAAGAGAACACGTTGACTGGATTAGTGATATCTGTTCCACTCACAGATATCCCAGGAAAGTGTAGAGCATTAGCAGACACCAACGGCGGTATACCAGCTGGAAAAGGGAAGCTGACAGGGGGGAGATGATCCGGGCGGCTTGTAAATGTTTCAATCGGTGGGAGGGTTTCATCTGTTACTTGGGCGGCTAGAACTTGGTGGAACTGCTGTAGATCTCCCTCAGTCTTGAGAGCTTTTGCCAAGTCATTCTCCAAGAATCCATTTGACTCCACAATTTCGGGATGCCGTGCTATGATCTCTGGATGTGTGGCTAAGTGTTGCTTAGCATCTTCCCAACGCTGGAACTTTACTGGACAAACAGGGCATTTGTGAAGCATTTCCATCATGTGACGACGCTCGTGCATGCGAAAACTTCCGCTCTGGGCAAAAGTCTGACCGCAGATTTTACAAATGTATGGCTTCTCTCCTGTGTGTACCCTTTCATGTGTGCGTAGTGTGCCAATCTGTGTAAATGACTTTCCACATGTCTGACATCTGTACGGACGGTCCCCACTGTGTATTCTTTTGTGAGTGGTCAAACTACTGGCATTGGCAAAGGATTTTCCGCATATTTTGCAGATATATTCCGGTGAACCCAAATCATTTTTCAACTTGGGTGAAGAGTATGATGATTGAACAAGAAACATGGAGTGTTTGGTCATGTTGTGTGCCTTGTCAGGATTGATGCCCATTTGTCTGATGTGGATTCTCTCATGTTTCTTCCAGTTACTGCAGTCGCTGAAACGTTTAGGACAAAAGGAGCAAGCAAATGGTTTCTCTCCCGTATGAAGTCTCATATGTGCCTTGATGTAACTGGACTGTGCAAACTTTTTACCACAGAAATGACAACTAGGTTTGTTGTCCTCGTCATTGGCAGACTGGCCGGAGTCTGTGCTGCTAAGGTTGATGGCGCCATCAGCGTAAGATTCTGCCATTATGTTAGCGTCGGACATCGTGACCCTCTCACACACGACTCCAGCCTTTATCTGTGGCGATCTGTCAAGATAAATAAAAAATCATTGACAACATTTATATTTGGCCACCAGATGGTGCTGTATAAAGCTGACTTCGCTATATCATACTTGTAATGATTTTTGTTGGTGAATACTGTTTGATACAGCTCCATCATCCTGTGTGCTGTGCTAATTCTGCAGATTTTTCCAAAGGCACATTGTTTTTTTTAACAAATAAAGACAACATTAAGCAACCTTTACTTCTTAGTTTGGAGTATCTATAAAAAACAGCTTTTCTAACAGATTAAATTGCTTTATTCTCAACTGTATTTTCTAATTCATTACATAAGACTGTTAAAGATGAAAGAAAAATTGTGACACCAAATCAGAAACAGACCTGTACATTAATGAAACTGAATCCAGTACCAAGATTTTATTTTATTGTGACTGCAGTTCATAACCTTCCTGTGGTGATAATACTCTACATTATGTGGCAATGAACATGACTTAAGGTCACTTAGGACTATTATATGTAGCTGACTTCCAAAATCAGTTTTAAACCCTTGGGTTTGAAGGGATGTGTCACAGTAATTTTTGCAGAACATTTTCAGACAAGTCCACAAAACCTGTTCCAAAATGAGCCCCAATACTATAAGTATGTCACCAAAAGTCTGTCCCATATATGGTTAACTCTCACAAGGTATGACTTCTGTCATTTATAAAGGGCTGAATGAATCTGTCCCATATATGGTTAACTCTCACAAGGTATGACTTCTGTCATTTATAAAGGGCTGAATGAATCTGTCCCATATATGGTTAACTCTCACAAGGTATGACTTCTGTCATTTATAAAGGGCTGAATGAATCTGTCCCATATATGGTTAACTCTCACAAGGTATGACTTCTGTCATTTATAAAGGGCTGAATGAATCTGTCCCATATATGGTTAACTCTCACAAGGTATGACTTCTGTCATTTATAAAGGGCTGAATGAATCGTCTGTAAAGTAGTAAGTATTAATACAAAATGGTTTCAATATCTATCATATCATATCTTTAATTAAATAAGAGGAGGATTTATCACTGGACTCTTCAAATGTTTGCTAAATTTAGTTGAATATGTGACATATTTTGTTTCTTGTTTTTATTCAAATAAAAGTCACTTTGAAGCAGATATCATTGGTACATCAATTTTAATTTCAACCTAGTGACTTTTTGAAGGATTGTTTTAGTCTCGAACAGAAATTCTAAAATTTTGACAAGTCCCAATATAAAGAGATATATTGGATTCTCAAAATTTAATTGAGTCCCATTTGAAAAAATAGAAAATAGGTCCAGAACTCAAATATCCGAGTCCAAAAAATCAGCGAAAAATTTTAGTGTGGAACATGCATCCCCACAGAAATGATGAAAAACTCTTAATTCATGCAATGAAAATGTATTAAGACACATAAGTAATTTGCAATGAATTTCAGAATATAATTTTAAATGATCTTAAACAAATAAGTGAAAAATTTCGTTAATCTTCAAATGAAAATGGGTGTTTTCAAACATCTCTCAGTATTTTATAAATATAACAACTAAGGCACATTTCTCTACAAAATACGAATTCAATTTCATAATCATTGCCATGTCATCTTGTTTCCATCGATTTTGTCATATATTCTGAGCCTATTTAGTTCAAAAAGGCAGGTAGCTAACAACAAGAGCTCCCAGAGGGATCTTGGCACCCACCACCATTTTATCTTTATTTGTTCTTTGAAAGTTGGATTTTTTCTTTTATTTTTAGTCTTAATGCAGAAATTGCTAAATCCAATATGATCGCCCAGAAGCCTTTTTGTTTTTCAGATCAGTCCCAAAATCAAACGGGCACAACAGGGATCAAGAGGAACCTACACCTGAAAATTGAGAATAATCTATACAGTTGTTCTAAAGAAATAGAAATAACAAAATTCATTGTAAAAATGCAGTTTCATGATTTGGTCTTACTAATGATAGCACTATTGGTGCCACAACAATAACTTAATGTGGTTTATAGAAGTGGTTTAAACAGGACAAGTAAGTTTGTTAAGGGCCATCATAAACAACTTCATACTGCCAATAATACAAGTATCGTATTTTTCAGATTATAAGCCCCACCACTTTTTCCCTCATGAGTCAGGTGTGTGGATTATACACGGGTCAGCTTATATGTGGACGAACAAAAATGGTCAGGTGTGTGGATTATACATGGTTCAGCTTATATGTGGACGAACAAAAATGGTCAGGTGTGTGGATTATACACGGTTCAGCTTATATGTGGACGAACAAAAATGGTCAGGTGTGTGGATTATACACGGTTGAGCTTATATGTGGACGAACAAAAATGGTCAGGTGTGTGGATTATACACGGTTCAGCTTATATGTGGACGAACAAAAACGGTCAGGAACAAAACATTTTTAAAAAGGGAAGCGTACCCGTATACCTGTACAAGACTCCTGTAACATGGTCAGCCCTTTCATTACCTGTGACCACACAGCGCCTGTTATTATTATTATTATTACATTCTTAACGGCCCGTCAACACATACAAGGTCATTAGGGCCATCAAATGGTAAAATACACAGCGATCTAAAAAAGGAAATAACATCAAACAAACCAAAAGGTAAAAGACAAATGCTGAATATCTTAAATGGGTATGTTAATGCAAAAGATTAAAATGCTACGTCATAGTCTATTATATAGACCAACATCTATCTTTTCTATCAGATCCCCAATCAGTGTGGGACAGAACCTTTAGAAGATTCAGTGCCTTAAGGCATTTGGCTTTAAGGTATTTTATGTGTGGAAGGAATGACAATTTCCTGTCCAATGTTACACCTAATAATTTCGTTTGCTCAACAACTGGAATGGGTACACCACAGAGAGACACATATGGATCATCGTGTTGTTTCCGAATTTGACAAAAATGCATACAGTTTTTGATTGTGAAAATTTAGAACCATTTTCATCTGCCCAAATTTGTAGTCAATTCAGGTATTGTTGTAGTTGTCTTTCGATGGTATTCATATGCTTAGATCGATAGCATACGATGAAGTCATCGACATAAAGAGCGCCTCCCATTGAAGGGGATGTTTTGACAATACTGTTAATTTTAAGTCCAAAAAGTGTAACCGAAAAAATGCTACCCTGTGGTACACTCATTTCCTGCTGATGGACATCAGAAAGGGTCGTTCTATTCCAGACTTGAAATACTCTGATAGAAAATTTGAAATAAAAATTGGTAAATTACCTTTAATACCTATATCATGCAGATCTGTCATTATGCTCTATTTCCAGGTTGTGTTGTAAGCCTTTTCCAAATGGAAGAAAACAGCAACCAAGTGTTCCTTCTTTAGAAAAGCCTCATGCAAAAAGGTTTCAAGTCTAAACAAATGATCGTTGGTACCTCGCTTAGATCTAAAACCGCTTTGTAGGGGTGATGTTATGCGATTGGATTCCAGATACCAAATTAATCTTGAATTTATTTTTTTACAAATGCAACTCGTAAGTGATATTGGGTGTTAACTGGAGGGATCTGTTGTATCATTACCCTGCAGTTTTCCTATTTCGAATAGCTTTATCACAATCTTCATTAATCCAAGATTTTTTATTGCATTTTCTTTTGGATTTTGGTACACATTCTTCGGCTATCTCAAGAAGTTCGGTAATAAAGAATTTGATTGGGTCCTCAAAATTCAGGAAATTGATGGTGTTAAGAATTTTAGTACCGAGATGTTCAAATTTACTCCAATCTGCTTTATATAATTTCCATTGGGGTACATGATCGCTCTCTATGGATCCACAGTTCCTTAGAAATATTGGAAAGTCGAGTAACAACGATGAATGACATACAATTAAACCAAGGTGCGAGAATGTTCCAGAAGAGGGATGCCAATAAGTTGGAAATTTATTATTGTAAAGGTTATTTTCCAATATCAATTTTTCAATTTTTGTTTCTCTATCATCAGTGTCGGATGAACCCCAAAGGTTGGTATGACAATTAAAGTCACCCAAAAGTATGAAAGGGGAAGGCAGCTGCGATAGGAGTTCGTCTAGTTGGTTGTTCGTGAAATCAGAGTTTGGAGGGAGATAGATGGAGCATACTGTGAGAGTTCTATGGAGCATAACACTTACAGCAGTTGCCTGGAGGTCTGTATTTAATTGTATGTTTCTGTGAGGAACTTGGTTGTCAACCAGGATAGCAACTCCTCTGGTTACTTTGTTGCGAATAGGACCAAAGCAATTAAACGATGTATATTTTCTGAAATTAATATTTGTCTCGGCTCTGGTTTCTCACTATGTTAAACCTCTAACATTGTTGAAGTAGAGATGGTACCAAATTTTTTATGAGTACCTGGCTGCTATGTGTTTGTGAATGAAACAGATCGTCTAAAACCATCATTTGCAATTGTATACAGGATAATTTGAAGATTGAAATAAAAAATAACATTCTCATGGATTTAATTATTCATACCTTTTGATATGAATTACAATAATATCTTCTGGACTTCCGTGGTTACTTTGAAGACATAGCTTTGATATGACCATACCTCTACACTTTGGTCAAAGTAACGGTTTCCACTTCATAAGAACTGCCTTCCATTATCTGTTACCAGTATATCTAACACCAACATCTGTAGTCACCATATCGTAAGGCTTATATTCTGGTGCGGTTTATATGTAGACCAAATCAAAATAATCAGTAAAGATCAGCATTTTATATATCGGTGCATTAACCGGGGAAACATGTCACTTAATGTACATTGATTCAGTGAGATTTCTTTGCTTTTGCTTTGTGTATACACCAGCTGATTCTCTGTATAACAACCAATCCCCATACAGATTATGAAATTTTAAAGCATGTGAATTATCAAAAAACGAGCGTTTCATTTTGAGAAGATATTCATGCCTTCATATAAATAATAAATTGTACTCTTCACAAATAACAAAGAGACAACCCTTAAACAATTCAATATTGTC